ACTCAAAAAAGATGCGAGTCAAAAACGCACAGCCAAGCCTCAGTGATCACTACATTACAAATTATACTACACAACACTCGAAGAAAGAGCAAGAGACAGTACAACACCACAAATTTGGGAGCCCTGTACATTAGGTGTCCCTTAATGAACATTAAGTATAAATAAACAAATAAATGTGAAGGATTCACCACACTCAAGCCAGACACGGTAACGAAGAAGACGACTATTAAAATATTACAGGACATTCCACATTCTTGATAATATGCTGGAAAACCAAATAATGTGGTTATGTAAAAAAAAATGAAGCGTGAGAAAACATTGACAAACACTCGGTTATAACAGAAACTGAAAAAAAAAGCCCAAGCCATAGCTGTATAAACACAATGACAATTACGTGCAGAGTGCTGGGACTGTGAGAGTATCAGTACAACACTGTGTAGGTGGGCAGGTGGTGCTATGATAAATGGCTTTTTCTAAAAGCAGCCCTGAGGAGTCCTCCTACAATACAGTAAAAAGTACCAATACTGTAAACTCACTGAAGTCCCAGTCTGTGTGAGAGCTGGGTCTCTCACAAAGACTTCAGGCAGTCGAGAAACACAGGTTTTAGTAGCAGGAGTTTTACAGCAGAGTATTTTCACCAGAGTCCTGACAGCAGCTGGCAGAGGTGGCGAGACCCAGGATCACCATTCCCATTTTCAGGCAGGGCAGCTGAAGAACGGAGCTGGGCACTGACCTGCACAGAGTCCCGTGGGCGCTTGTGTCAGCCCAGAAACCCAGTACGGGATGCGACTGCAACGCTGCGGAGCTGGGCGCTGACCAACACCCCCCACTTCCTCTACACAATACCATGTTATTCAGGAGAGTTTGAAATATTAATGTGCGAAGGTTTAATTTGTCATACTAGCCAGACTGGGAAAACACGTCAAATGCAGAGTATCTGTTCCACTGATGACATTTACGTTTATGATGCGCACAATTAGCTCCGGTGGGTCGCAAACACCCATTTTTCTTGGCTACTGATCAGCAGCTGCTAGCTGCAAATTCATATGCCCTCCTCGTCGTGAAACGGCTCTGCTTAATATAATGAAGCGGCACTGCCTCCCTCTGAAGGTGCATCTGCCAAAGACAGGCCGTGAGGGATGGCTTTTCAAACTGACTCAGGAAAAAGGGGTTGGACGAGGTGCTGGCTTTACTGGAGACAAAACCAGCCGGAGTGATGTGGGTCACACCAGCTAAAGCCACAGTGAGATGTCATCAAAATCTCCCGAGTGTCTGGGCTACCTGTGTACAGTCGGACTCAGGAGTTTGCTCCCCCAGCATGGTGACACCACGGTACGGGGCACAGCGACATCGAAAAACCTCTGCTGCAACACCGTGGGCGTGGGGCGGGCAGCCCGAGCCTTCCCCGTGCTCACTTTTTGTCCGGAGAGCCGGGGACTGTGGGACTGCCCCTGAAAAAGGAGCTGTGGTCAAGTTAACCGGCTTGCAGCTGTATCGTACCCACCCCCCTGCAGCTCCACTGTCAGCAGTGCTTCCCACTGCCAGCAACCTCCCCAAGTCTCAGTCACTGGAGATAAACTTTCCCACACTTTGCCCCCTGCCTCAGTCTGGCGTTTGGTGGAAGGGGAGAAACCACAACAAAAAAAGTGTTGCTACGCCCAAGGAAAGGGTTAAGGAAAGCAGGTGATTTCACCAACATTAGCCAGCTCTTAACTAACGTTTCCCATTGTTGCATGTTTTTGAGAAGTATAATTAAAATTTGGCACGGCAGGCGGAGGCGGACTCAGATACCTTTTGATATCCTTAAGAAATGCAGCCCAAGGTTAGCAAAAATACGGGGCTCAGAAAACTGCACAGGGCATTCCAAGCCCTCTGCAGGGAGGCAATCACCGTCCCTGTTTGCATCTAAGCCTGGCTGAGCCCAGGAGGGTGCCTACAAGGGGTGCACGGGAGGCCCCTGCCAGCCCATGTTTCCCCGCTTCTGGAAACCAGGTTAGAGGAAAAATGGTATGTACGTGCCATACCACTGGGGCAGAGCCAGACTGAAAAATGGAGCCCGATGACAGAGGAAGCTGGGACACCCAGGATTTGTTTAAGATGGCCTGGGGAGCACTGGACACTAAATTCAGGTGACTGGCTGTAGGGTCCTCGTCTCGTGGAGCGCCGTGTCCTGCTCCCCAGCTCCAGCAGGCACCCGTGCAGCCCACGACACAGCGAGTGCTGCAGCCTGCTCTTGGTTGCACCAGGCCTCGCCCATACACCCCAACGACTCCTGGATCAGATGTCCTGGAAAGATCACCCCGGGCTCCTTGTAGCTGCCTTGGGGTTGTGTCCCGATTCCCCTCACTCCTGTAATCCCTTCTGACGCTGTGAGCACGAATGATACCTTTGAAGATCTACCTACCACTGAAGATACCTACCCGCTGCGTTGCCAGAGCCAGAGCATAATCACTATCATTTGCAACCAGTGACTAACTCTGGGGCTCAGAACCTCAGAGCACCTGGAATGTCAAGTCAACTCAGTGGGATGCAGATATTATCCACGTGCTAAAGGAATGACCATTCAAGAGAAACGTCAGGGAAGCTGTGTTGGAAATCACTGCTCGCAGTGTGCTTGATCGTTGCTTCCACTGCCCCAAGGCGGGACACCAGCTCACGCCAGCACCCCGGGTACAGCCCTGGGTAGACCCACGTTGGGCTGCATCTTTGCCCCCATCCCCACACCAGCACCCAGCGACTTTCCCAGCACCCCACCCTGCAGAACTCCCACAGCAACCACGCCAGCAGGAGGTTAATCAAAAAAAATGTGCAGTTCCCAAACACGTGGTCCACGCATCAGCTTCCTTACAACCGGGGGGTGACGGAGGAGGGTGCACCTAAACCCAGAGCTGCCTGGCGGGCAGAGCGTGGGGCAGCAGCCCGTCCCTGCCTCACTCCCATCGGCTGGGGGCTGCCGGCTGCCCACTCCTGGAGAGAAGGGAAGTTTTAGTATTTAACTTGCTCGGAGTGGAGCAGGAAGCCTCAAAAGTGAGAGACAGGGTCTTTGAAGATACAATAAAATGTGAGCGCCACGGATTTTCTGGTGATGGGATCCAGGACAGATAAGCAAAATTTAACCTCATGAGGTTCTTCCTATCCTTTTAGCAAAAGGTAGGGAGAAGAGCTTCTCTGTCATCACTTTCCTGCTGCTGCTGGCAAAGATTGTTTTTTTAAGGCAAGAATACGTACTTTTGTTTAACCAGGTAAATGTTTGTTTTGTTTGTTTTTTTTTTTTTTTATACCTGGGACTTGCTCTTGTATCATTGAGGGCTTAGTAATTTCCTAGTACTGGAATTTCTTGTTTAGTGACGGGAACTGGACAATTTCCTCAGCCTTTCTTCCAAAGTACCTTTCTGGAAAAACCTATCAGAAACTCTGATAAAGAAAATCCCCTGTTAATAGCATGGGCGGGTTTTAGGCCTGTTGCAAGCATTCACCTGTTTGTGAGAGGGCAATAGCAACAAGTCACTTCAAGGGTCAAGGCATTTTCAAATGGGAGAAAGAGCAGGGGCACCAGTTTGGAGACTCTTGTACCTGACTACACTGATAATCACTTCGTTGTTTTTTGGTATAAGAATCTCTTCTTTTAAAGCACAGTGGTGCACAAATTCAAACTAGTATGTCCTTCTGAAAATAAGCCAGATTTTTTACAAGCAGCTTCAGACGGGAGAGCTTCATGAGGCAATTTCCTTGCAGGCAAGCTTGGGGAAGGAAGGGGTGGTGACACACGGAACACAAGGCCTGAGCATTTGGAGCTAACTTTGTTTCTAAACACTTTTATACATGATCATTTACGCTGTTATTACACAAACTTCTGATGGCCAATACAACACTTTATTTAACATATGAAGAGACTAAGATCTCTACGTAATCCTATAGTGAAATGGGTCCTGTCTGATGTCTTCATTTTGTACATAAAGCCAGTGAAGGGGGACAGACTGTAACTGTCAGAGTTTGCATGGGTTTTATTTCATACAGGGATCCACGGGCCGCTGATGTATTTTTTTCTGTCATGTGTTAGCTCTGGCCTACACCTACATTTTGAACTTAAAATACCACTGAATTATTAAAGACAAAGAACACTATGGTAAAATGACCAGCACGCTGCATTCAGTATGAAATAGCTTCCCCAAAAAAGCATTGCTATTTGCATACTAAACCTCATTT